GCTCTTCAAGCGACGCCTAACGCTCGGCTCCACCCCTCCGCCGCCGCGCTCGACCACGACAGCGCTGTCCATCGAGACGACGACCTTCCTGTATGGCATCGAGGATGACGATGATCAGGTGGCTCGGTCCAGCATACACACCAGTCGCTTCAATCAGATTGCGGAGCAGCTGCGTCCACTCCAAAGCTCCAGTTCCAGCTCCAGCACCAGCACCAGCACGAGCACAACGACCCAACGGGCGCCCAGCTTTGTGCCCAATGGCACACGTGAGTTAGCTTTTGTGAATAGCCCTAGACTCGGGTGGTAATCCCGTTGCTTTTGCAGGCCATCAGCTGATACCGCGTCCACGTCGGCCCCAGTCCAGCACGCCAGCGCCCACCTCGAGCAGCTCTGCCGCAGGCTCGCCGCCGGCAGCGCGTCGACAGCAGAGTCGCCGACGGCCGCACAAGTACATCGAGGTCTACAACCGGCCGCCCAGCAAGCTTGCCCTGGCCACAGCCACAGCCACCGCCACATTCACATCCGAATCCGCATCGAATCGTCGCTCGGGCGCCGCCGACTACGACAGCTCGGAGGCCAGTCCGACGCGCCGGCGCAGCGAGAAGGCGCGCAAGCTGCAGTCCCGGGCGCCCAAGGTGATCGTCCACGGGCAGGGCATCATCGAGTGCCGGGACCAGGGCAACTTCCCGCATCCGCTCAGCTGCCGCAAGTTCATCTCGTGCGCCAAGTTCGATGGCACCGGCGGCATCGTCGGCTGGGAGTACACCTGCCCCAAGGGCCTCGGCTACGACGGCGACAGCGGCATGTGCACCTTCGCCGCGGCCAGCGACGGCCGAGCCTGTCGCGATTAAGGCGGAGATAGGCATGGGAACGATGGGGTCAATGACTGAGTACAGACCCAAGGCACGCCTCCCCAAAGGAAGACAAATCCTTGAATCTTTCACCCTGCACATCATTTTTCTCTTGTGAATAGTTTTTGTTGCGAGCATATAGATGTATATGAGTATATATACACATCTATGTCTCCCTATATATGTATGTATTTATATCTCAATTTTATTTAAGACGCATATATTTGTATACCTTGACCAGGGCGCCTAGGTCTAAGTCGCCTCTGTCAGTCCGTCCGACTGTCTATTTCCTTTGTCCCTCTCATGCATATCGTGTACATATGTCGCATATATCATATAGCTGCCATGGGAAGAAGAACTTTTCTTTGAAGATCTTAGAGCTGAGCCTCAATAGTCTCTTAACTTTGCTTCGTTCCTAGCGAAATCAATACGTATCCTAAAGCACATCTAATCCATATGAATCCGTATCTAACTTTCATCCAGCTACAAAAAAGTTAATTTAGTCTTCGGTTGCCCGAAGATAATTCGAATTTCTTGTTTTTTTTTTATTGTTTCTTTTTTGTGTTATGAAAATATAATATTTAGGTTGCTTATACTCAATTCTTGTGTGTCTCGCCGCCACACGGATTACAATGCAAGTACGATATGTCATATCTAGGTATATATTATACGAACTGTCATTTGCTGCAATATCAATCAATAAATAAATAYATAAAAGTAAAATACAGTTTGTTTCTCTCCATATAAAAATTATAATATGCTATAGATTACGATATGCAAAAGTAAAAGACATACATATATGTTGTTATGGATGTTATGGATCGGAAATGAGATAAGATGGAAACAAAGGCGGAGACAGTAAACGATATATAAATAAAAAAAACTTGGATTCTATTAT